CTTTTTCTTTCTAATTTCATCCTTTTCCCATTTTTCTTCCTTTATCCCCTTTTGTATTCTCTGCAGCACTGCTTAGTATTGGAAAACTCAGAACCGAAGACAATCTGATCCCCTAATAGATTAGAACCCAAAAACAGACTACTAGGAGATCTGGGCATGTTTTTTCCCTTTTAAACAATAAAATGGTTGGAAGATCTGGCCCTTTCCTGTTGAGTTATTGAACCTGCAGCATTTCCTGCTGTCTTGCCAGTACCTATAATTACTTGGGAAAAAAGACAAACCAGATGTTGGAGGCTTTTGAACGGAAGGACTTCTCTGTGGCCCTGAACTATCAGGTAAACTTTCTCTTCCCTTCCCATAAATCATAGCCTTTTTTCTTCCCCCTCCTCCCACCCAGCCTAGCCATCCAGAGGGGGGAAAAAGATTCTTTTTTTTTCTCTCTCTCTCATCAGCATTTATACCACACCTGTCCCTATTAAAATTGTCAAGCCACTTCTTTCTTTACCTTTCTTCTGTTTCTTACTTTTTCTTGTTTAAAACCAAACCTGTCCCCATTGTCCATGTTCCCCACATGTCTAATCAGTACAGGCCTGATACGGGAAGGCTCCTCTTTGTTCCTCCTAGAGAGGATCTTATTTTTACTCTCTCTTCAAAGTACTTCTGTGATTGTAAAATAATGGTCATAGATTTCTGGGAAAATGATCACATGCCATCCCCTTGAGGACATCACACCTGAGTCATCAGAGAACAGAGGAAGCTATGAAGCTGGTAACCTAAAATGGGGAAGGCATAATCCAAAGTCAGGGCAGAACAGTCCTGATCACACTGGAAATGTGCTGAGAACTGGAAACCTCCACCAGGCAGGAAACAAGAGCCTAATGGGTGATCCACAAGGATCTGGCTTTGAAACAGGGAGAGAAAAGCAGCAGGTGCTGATATGTTACAGGGAAGACCCCAGAGGCTGCTGTGAATGTTACATCGAGGACAGCCTAGCTGTCCAGGGGAAGAAGAGCCTCACTAAAGGATAGAATCAGTCTCAACAGCTGGGTCTTAAGTGTAAATGGAATAAGGTGGAAGGAAATAGAGTAGGCACAAGCAGAAGACTTTTGGGGGCTATGAGGCAAAGAGATTTTCAGAATAGTATAAGTGGCTGAGAGGGGTATCCCAGGAAAATAAGTAGAAATGGAAGGACATAGCAAGATTGGAGCAAGTCCTTGTTCCCAATAAAGCTCAGATGTGGGATCTTTTTGAACAGGACAGGCTGCCAGCAGGGTAATCAGAGATTAAGGAGCAGAAGTGCAAAGCATCCTTTAGTTGGTGCCTCAGAGGCATCCCAAGGCAATGATATTGGAGGTATGTCTTTATTCTTTTCAAAAGCAGGAGAAGAAGGACTGTGGAAGAAAGTGGAAATAGAAAAGGACAATCTGGCCAGGCGCGGTGGCTCACGCCTGTAATCCTAGCACTCTGGGACTGAGGCGGGTGGATCGTTTGAGCTCAGGAGTTCAAGACCAGCCTGAGCAAGAGTGAGACCCCGTCTCTACTAAAAATAGAAAGAAATTAGCTGGACAACTAAAAATACATAGAAAAAATTAGCCAGGCATGGTGGCGCATGCCTGTAGTCCCAGCTACTCGGGAGGCTGAGGCAGAAGGATCGCTTGAGCCCAGGAGTTTGAGGTTGCTGTGAGTGAGGGCAACGGCACTCTAGCCCGGGCAAGAGAGAGAGACTCTGTCTCAAGAAAAAAAAAAAAGAAAGAAAAGAAAAGGACAATCTGCACCTCCATTACATGCGAATTCCTATGCTGATCAATTTTAGAAAACAGCACTCAATGGAAGGATCTAGAAATTGACTCCCATAAATCTTAGCTTTGGCCAAGTGCCGCTTAGGCATCATAGAAGGCACCCCAGAGCTCTGTGTAACCCAGTCTGAAAGCCACTGTGCTAGCTGATGAGCTTACCTGCACGAGCTAGAGGGATAAGGGCACGTTCCCCTTACTGCTGTCCCATACAGTTCTGTCACTGGAGCGCCTTTCCTGCGCAGCCCATTCTGTAAAGCCTGCACGTATGAAAGATCCTCCCTTATCCTGGGTGGGTCCTGACCATCCTCACTTGGCCATTTTTCTGCACTCTGGCAGACCTTCAGAAAACTAAGGTGTGTGGACTTTTTAGGGTTTCTGTAATTTGACTTCTAAATTCTTTATATTGTTTTCACAGTTCGGTAATACTGACTACAGATCTGTTTGTTTCTGTCTAGTTTTGTATCCAGAGATTTATCAACTTTGTGGTCAAACTAGGTAAGTGCCATGTCTGTTTTCTGCTCTGTCTGCTGCTGGAGAGTGTGAAGGAGACGGAACATCACTCTTGACAAGAACCCCTTTTAATGGTCTGTTGCAAGCAGTGTTCTCTTGCCAGTATTAACCTTCAGGGCCAAACATACAAAATGGTGAAGTAAACCTAGTCGGAAGGTCTTTGGCAGCTTTCTATAAATCTGTCCTCCATTTTAGCACACTCACCATTTTCTGTTCCTTCCTCCTACACCATCAGCCCTCCCCCGCTTTACTCACCTCTGCTCATTGAAATTCTACTACCTCGCTGTGGCTCATTTCAGCCTAAGTGCTTGGAGGAAGGCAGTCTAAATACAGATCTTACTAAATTGTGAATGACTGACAGCCCTCCCAAAGGTATTTACAATATGAAGAGAGTTTATTAGCAAAAGTAAGCTCAAATGGATGGGGGTTTGGATAATATGACAAAGTAAAATGGGCGGGTGGTGGTAATAACAGTGAATTTGAATAGAGGAACCTCTCCAGAGTCTCTTAAATCTTATTCCATAACAAATGCCACCATTCACTCCTCTTCTGCAAGAGATTGGCCCTTGGGCCAACTGAACCTGGGTCAGTGCAGGAAAAGCTTTAAGCTGATTCTTGGCAGACCTCCCACCTCCCTGCCACAGCCCTTCTGCCTCAGCCTGGCAATTCCTCCTCTCCCCAGGCCCCTACTGTGTGTCACGCTGTCATTCTCACAGCGTTCTCAACTAGCTCTCTTAGCCCTTCAGAGAAAAAGTTGCCATTTGCTTTTCACTTTCATGATTTTTGTCCCATTTGTTTGCTACCAGTGCTAGGAATGACCTATTTCTATTCCCTTGTCCTAAGCAATACTTTCCACAAAATTGTGGGTTTAGTGTGACAGTTATATGTCCCTGAAGTACATTAAAATAGATATTGAACTGTTAAAATTTTAAAAGCACTAAGAGTTTGCCTGTGCACAGCAGTCCCCCCTGATCTATGGGGGATACGTTCTAAGACCCTCCAGGGGAGGCCTGAAACTGGTTAGTACTGAACCCTACATATAGCAGGGTTTTTTCATATACACACATACCTGTGATAAAATATCATTTATAAATTAGGCACAGTAAGAGATGAACAATAACTAACAATAAAATAGAGTAATTATAACAATATACTGTAATAAAAGTTCTGCAAATCTGATCTCTCTCTTGCTCTTTCGCTTTCTCACTCTCTCAAAATATCTTACTATTTTCGGACCACAGTTGACCACAGGTAACTGAAACTGTAGAAAGTGAAACTGTGGGTAAGGGAGGACTACTGTATACTTAGTCATGCTGGTGTTTTCCTTCCCCATGCTCAGACGTTACTGTAACTAACTAAATTAACTTAGCAAAAGAAAGTTACTTCTTATATCTTGAATCCAAAAGCAATAAGCCAGCTAAGAAAACCAATCACAGATATTTTAGAAGATGGGGATGGAGGATTGTGATGGGTAATTATTAGTTATGTTTTTTACGTATTAACAGTCTGCCTGCTTTTTCATCTGCGTCTTCAATCTGAAGCTATCTTTCTTCAGCTCTGAAAAATTTTCTGTTATTATCTGTGAATATTGTCTTGAGTGCATTCACTCAAGTCTCTCATTGTGAAAACATAGTAGATACATTTTGGGTCTTCTCAAATCTGTATCTTAATCTTTTTTAATATTTAACATATGTTTCTGTGCTGTGTTCTAGATTTTTTCCTTAGATCCACCTTGAAAAATCACTAATTCTTTCTTTAGCTATGTTTTCTACAGTTTAATTTCCCTGAATAGGTATTTTTTATTTTCAGTATTTCTTTTCGGCTTTTTAAAAAAATTTAAATGTTTGTTATGTCTGTACCCTTCTCTTAGCCTATGGTGTCTATTCCTTCTTTTATCTCTGTGAAGTCTCTTCCAGAATTTTCTGTCACCTGCTCTCAGGATGTGAATTTTGTCATTTGTGCGTATGCTGGCTCTTATGCTGCTTTTTTTCCTCATGGGCTTTGTAACTTTTAACTCTGAGCTCTTAGCTTTTGAGACTGCATTTTCTGGGTAATCCATTATACCCTAAGTTGTCAGGTGCCCTATCAAGTGGGTTTGCATTTGCCTCTGCTGGGACACTTTAGTTCCACCAGTTCTAACCAGTCTTTAAGTTAATTTCGTAGTCTGGTACCTATAGCAAGTGCATAATGCAAATTTGGATCCAGCATTCACCTGTGGCACAGGCTTGGGATTTCTTTCATGAGGTCTTTTTCCATCCCCAGCCCTGGCAGAAGTCAAGTTTCCTGTCTCTCTATCCCCAGACTAGTGGGCTGGGGTTTTTTCAGTTGCTTGTCAGAGAAGGCTGGCTACCAGTTTTATACAGGGGGTTTAATTCCAACTTCTCACCACGCATAGATCCAAGGCTTCATCTTCCCTTCTCGTGCCAGTTTCCTAACACCAGCACTGAAACAGCAGCATTGAGTCATTAGCCACCTTAAGTGGTGCATTTCTCAAGGACTTCTTAAATGACCTTGAACTAAATTCTATCCTAGCAATGAAGTCCAACACCATTTGATCAACAGCAGTATATTCCTAAATCAGATTATCCTTAAGGGCTATTTGGCTTTAGCACCTCCTTGCCCCTCTGGCCTCTTTATTCCTGACAGTTTGGTACCTCCTTGGTTTTAAGATTGACTTTGAGTCTTTGTTTTGTTTTACAGTTTGTCAATTTGTAAAAATTTTCCAGCGTTCCTATGTTTTTGACACAGAAAAAGGGATTTCCTATGTCTGCTCAGTCTGTCATGTTGACTGGAAATGTTCCTACCTTGTATCTTCACCTTATCCTACTGTAGTAGTCGGTGTTAGCATATGATCTTTTCTTTGGGATGTTTGTGGGGAAGTGGATGGTACCAGTCACATTTCCTCATTTATTTTTCCTGTCTAGGTTTTGGAGTATCACAGACCAAAGCCATCATGACTCTGGTCTCTGGGATTCCCATGGGCCCACCCCGGCTTCCACTGCAGAAGGCCTCCAGGGAGTTTACTGATAATGTGGAAGCTAAACTGAAGAGCCTGGATTTCCTTTCTTTCACTGGCTTGAAGGATAGGAACTTGGAAGCCTGTGGCTAGTGCCTCACTATTAAATCAGGGTGTGTACATTGAGACATAATCCACATTAAATAGAGCATTCTTTTCTCAGGGACATTGTAGATGAACTTGAAATAAACTCTCCTAGCAAATACTGAAGTACCTACTCTGAGCCTAAAAAAGTTTTATTTTGTGAAGGGGCAAAGGCTCTAGAGGGAGTCATTCATTTCACAAAATTTTTATAGAGAAATTTCTGTTTATATGAATGAAATGGAGTTGAGAGGAAAATCCTAATTGATTGATTCTGTCTGCCTTTGGGAGCTCCCATTACCTTGATTTCTGGTTCTTAATCCTATTTTAAAGATTTCTAATTTTAAACCACTATACTGTACGTTTATTTTAATAAATATTCATTTGGAAGCTAAGACAACTCTGAGCCACTGCATTTAGGCAGGCACTTTACTAGCAAATTACGACATGGCTCAACTATGTACAACTACTAACACTCCAGGTCATCTGGCTGCTCTGTCTAGCCCTAGAACAGATGCTTTCAGAATATTTATGACACCACAGTTTTCCCCAAAATCACTGGGTCAGATGAGGACTTGCTTCAGTTCCTATAACTAAAGGGCTCTTTAGCATGGCTTTCTCATAAAGAAAGAAAGGCCTTCCCCAAAGATGAATTTAAGTCTCCACTTCTTGCTATACAGAGAACTTCTCAAAGTTTCAAAGAACCAAAGGGCTCTTGCTCTGGGTACCACAAACTTTCCCTCCTTCCTCTGAGAAGATAGTGTCTCCTCTACTCCCCTGCCCCCAATGCCCTAAATTATTGGAATCAAAGGCCAGTTTCCCTTCTGAGATAAAACCAGGAGCTACTGTTATAATATTTCTCTGTCACATTTCCAAGCAGCTACTTTTCCTTTAGTGACAGAAGATTTGGGGAGGACCCAAAGAACTTACAGCTTTCTCTACATATCTCCTTTACTCTTCTTTTTCTGTAATATATCACCAGCTGTTTAATGTCCCTTCTGACAAACCTCGGTATATGCTTTCTAATATCGAAGTGTATTGACAGTCAACTTTAAGTGATTTTAAACTTATCCACTCTATTAATTACCTAAGATTTTGTTTTCATTTTGTCTCTAATTGTTTTGCTCATTAGCAGATGAAAAGATTTGAAATTCACATCAGTTTTGCTCCTTACTTTTTATCTCTTCAAATGAAAGATAAAACTTTTTGAAAATGTAAATTTGAAATTATCAGTGGACTTCGATTATCTTTGTTAACCCTCTCTTTAATTGGTCAGCTAGTTAAAAGTTGTTATATTTATCTCCTTACCCCCATTTTTGCCTTTATAGCTATTAATTTCCTGAAAGAAGAAAAGTAAGGTTTTTATTAGTCTTGGGTTCTGAGGATATGATACTCTTACTTAGTGATACTAAAACCAAATTTAATTTTTTAAATTAATTTTGGGTACCCACTAAGCAAAGAATTATTTTTTTTATCTTTGCTCCTGTGAGGTCAATACTTAGAGGATTTTTAAGATAGTTAATGAGATCTTGTGAACATAAAGAGAAATATGATGATTAAAAAATGACCAGGCCTGAGTTTAGCTCTACATATTTTAACATGTAACTGCTTAGGAAATGAATATTATTTGGCAGTATGCTATTAATATTGCTTTTAACAAGTAAAATTTTGGAATATTATGAACTTACTGTTTTCTTTGAAATCTATCTCTAAATTATTTTTAATGTTAAAACTAAAGTAATAGCATGTGAAATATTTCATTCAACACTATACTAAAGGCAGATTTTTCACCTCTTTGTTTCAAGATAGAAATCTGAAGTCATTCTATTGGGGACAGTTGGAGGGACAAAGTGATTTTAGGGATTGGTTTTACTTAGGGTCTCTCTTGAGTTTATTCATAGACATAGTAAAATGCCATGTGAGTGGGCTGGGCAGGGGTAATGCACATACTTTCCCAGAAAGGCTGTTTGCCACAATTTGAAAGAAATGTCCTCTTTGTTCGTGATCATCTGCAGAGCACAGAAAATCCCTGCTTCTAGGAAGCTGACGTCTAGGAGAAGGCCGGGCTGAGGGACTTTCTGAGGTTTTTCATATAGGGAAATGGAATGGGATTTACAAGCCTATCACATCAAGTAAACAACACATCTAGCCCATTTAACCATTCCCTTATCATATTTTTACTCAACCCTCAGTTTCCTTCGGTGGAAGAAAGAAGGAAACTTGGAACCCAAATCATGCAAATAGCAGAGCTAAGCCCTAGGTAGAGGTGTAGCATCACCTCACATTTTGGGTTTCTGGGGCTGAGAAATGGCTATTTGGGTGGACAAAATAACTGACCCAAATCATGGTTTCTGTGTCAACCCCCTTGGTGACTCTTGGGAAATCATTTGACACATAGAATACTTTAGCATTTTAAGTTAGAGAACCAAAAGAAAAACCTTAAAGGATTTTCTTCAAACTTAATCACACAATTAGTAAACATAATGGAATGGATTCCACAAAATACATACAGAACTATATCCAGCAGGATTGCTACCTATATCTGAATACCAGTTGCAGGGGTATTCAAGTTCTATGCCAGATGGACCACCTAAGAAGACTGTACATCAATCAAGTGTTTACCTGTAATATATTTTCTACCCAGCAGCTAGAATAACCTTCATAAATGTCAGGGTCCCATGTTTGAGCCAGATGTTGGGTTAGGCCGTGTAGGCACAGAAGTTTTTGCAAATGCCAGCTAGCCTTTGGTGTGAGCTTCGTCACCCATCAGCAAGCATACAAAACAAGGTTATCTTTGAGGTCCTAGAAATGGGTTCCCATAAGTGGGCAAATGCGTCAACATCTCAGGATGGTCTACAGTCCAAGACTAGTTTGCCTTATTTAAGGTCACCCTGCTTCAGGTAGAAGGAAGTAGTACAATTACTACATACTACACTCTTGGGTGTCCTTAGACAGGGTGAAACAAAGTGATCCACCCTTAGGGCTTGAGTAAATGGGCACATCTAAAGCACGCACATTAATAAGAGTGCCAAGCAATATTCAGAGATCTAGCAGGCCTTCAGGTTGCTATTACTCCCAATTAGTATTGTCCTTTTCCTAATGCAATAGCCTCAATCAGCTTTGACTTCACAGTTTGACCAGACCTCCAGAATCAATGCCATGCTTACTTGTAAAAAAGACAAATATTCACTGATATATATGATACATACATACTGATGCATAACAAGCAATAAAAAAATAAGAATTCTGATAACAAATTGGCATTTCAATGAATACTATAACCGTATAACATGGAAGAAAATCATTTTAAAGGTATCAGATAGGTTTTATTCTTCATCCTTAACATCTAGACCATCATTTCTGCTGGAATCCAAATTATATACTTCATGTGTGGTATTCATTGCATTAAAACAGTCATCAGCCCTTTAAACTGTAACCCATTGTCAGTACCATTATTAATTCCACTTTTTAAAAAAAATCATTTTTCTTTTGTTTTAAAATATTGTATTGGCTGCAGTTAGCACCTTTTGTGCCCTGTTCTTATTTTTTCCAACTCCGTATTATTTGCTCAGTAGGCACCCACAATTCCATTTTACAGCATCTTTCTTTGTGTCTGTCATATTAAGTTGGAACCTAATGTTATATCAAAGCCATGGGTTTTGACCCATGTAACTGTGTTGTACTAACACATTTAAAACTAAATCTTAGAAAATAATCCAAACTCTACCTCTGATCAGCTTTGTGTTTTGTTACTTAAAAAAAAAAAAAGGCCTCGTGAGTTAAATGTGCTTCCTAACTGGGATGTTCTGGGTTAGTACATTTTGTCCCTAAAGAGTGGCATATCACTTTTTGTGCTCTTGAAAATAGTGATCACTGCAGCTCACCCCAGATCCCATTATCTGTACAGCTTTCACCTTTCTTGCTTTTGGTGGGGCCTCAGGTTTCACCCATAATCTGGGCACAATGAATGCAAGGTAATTTTCAGATGCCGTGTTTGTTTCCTTTTTAGGAAAAAGAAGTTCAAATGTGGTATATGCCAGATACTGAACTTTATTGCACAATCCCAATACTACAAGCAGTTAAAAGGCAGGGGGGGTTGGTGAGGAGAAAGGAAGGAAGGAAGAAAAAAAACCCAAAGGGACCAAAGACCACCAAGAATGTTCATAGCAGTTCGATTCATGTTAGCCAAAACTAGAAATAACCCAAATGTCCATCAACAGGAAAATGGATAAATAAATTGTGGAATATTCATAAAATGGAGTACTGTACATCAATAAAAAGAAGTACTGTTACATCTACCAACATAGGTGAATATCAAAAATATATGTTGAATGAAATAGGCCAGACACAAAACAGTACATACTGTATATTCTACTCCTATGAAGTGGTATTCAAAAGCCTCTGAGTGGGCTCAAACGTCACCAACACTGGCCTTCTCAAGACATCACGACCAGCTTAAATCCTAGTTTTGGTACCAGGCATTCATATTCCATCTCCCAACCCTTCACCTTTTGCTTATTTGAGGAACAGAGGAAGAGAGATGAACCAAAACATCCTCCCCCATTTCTCATCATCCATTTCAACTTCAGGTGTCTGTTATAACCATCCCATCCTCTTTGTCAGAAACTTTGCCTCAGTCTGTTGGATTGGCAGAAGTAATAAATGACTTATGAAACTTTGTCAGTCCCCCCATACAGTTCACAGATTAAATTTAAAAGATATATCTTTATATTCTTTATTTTCTACCAATCTCAGAAACTAAGTCAACTCTTTGATCAGTTATTTCTAGCCCAAAAGGTAAATGTGAAATGTTAAGCAGTCCAGTTGAAACAGACCTTTCGTTATTTGGTCATTATGATGAAGAATTTTGGTCAAATTCTTAGGTAGGAAGATGGGTACCTATTTTCTTATAAAGCTTAAAAAAAATTCCTACCCTGCTTTGTGTTGCATTGCTAATCTCTGCAGTCTCCTAGATAGTCATCTACTGAAAATAGGTAATAGTTGTATTGAAATCTGTCCTCTTTCTGTCCTTCTGGAGCATGTTTTGAAGCTTCATCTGCAAATGGAAAACAGAAGATCTTAGAGGCTGCTAGTTGCTAGGAGCAACCTACAAAGGTAATGCT